GAATAGTTTTATAAAATTAGATGGTTGAAAGTAAAACCAGTTTTCCTGTGGTGTTTATAATTCTACCTAATCCTTTCTTTAAATGTTGATGTTTTTGGTTTATTACATTCTCGTGCTGATGATACAGACCATTTTGTTAGGGTTTTGAATATTTTAAATCATTTTAATCAATTAGTTTTAGTTTTTTAATGAATAATCCCATCTTAATACACAACGTGTATTTTATTGTTTGATTAGTTTGTTTGTTTGTTTGGTATTAAGCACAAAGCTACACAATGGGTTATCTGTGCTCTGCCCACCACGGGTATCGAAACCCGGTTTCTAGCGTTGTAAGTCCGCAGACATACCGCTGTGCCACTGGGGGGCAGGGTAAAATAGTTTGTTTGTTTGTAATGAAGCACAAAGCTACACAATGGGTTATCTGTGCTCTGCCCACCACGGGTATCGAAACCCGGTTTCTAGCGTTGTAAATCCGCAGACATACCGCTGTGCCACTGGGTGGGTGGGGGCAGGTAGAAAGAGAAACGTAATTATTGAATGGCGGAGATTTATAAAGTGTTAATATAATTATATACAATTTAACTTGTAGAAAACAAGTTATAGTAATATATTTTTTATATTTAAATATAATCAAACCCTGCTCTATAGAATTTTATATTTAAACAGCTTAAATGGAATAGGAAGAGAAAAAAAAACGGGCATGAATTCTGAAGCATTAAGATATGAAAAGCTTTATGCCTAAATTCAAGTAGCTGACAAGTACTTTTACTAGAAGTAAAATTTAATGATGAAACTGTATCACAAAATACACGTAAAAAGCCTACCACTATGTCATTAGAAATTTTACAAATGATTAGTGGCTTATCTGTACGTGATGTTCAAACTATCTGCCAGTTTTTACCTCAATTTTTTGACACGCATATTACAAGTACGAGTAACCATATTTTTTTTGTTTAGTAATATAATTTCTAAATTCATATTTCATGCAAGTCTCATATTGTTAATATAGTCTGATATTTCGTCATATTGATAAGTGTCTGTCCGATGAAGATTCCTTGCGCTATTCCAGTACTTATTAGCAGTAATTTCATCCGCCTTAAGTTTTTCCATTGTTATACATGCAATTATTATATTAAAAAAGAACTGTTCAACAATAAGCATAACCATATACACGAACACATACATATATACAGACAAATTAACGACTAGTTTTTCACAACTTTATTTTTTCTTATACTCATTCATGTGAAGTAATTATGAGTGTTAAAAGTCAGTACGACAGATTGGCATCTTGTCAATATTTAACTGAGGACAAGTAGTGTTTCTATTCGGCAACGTAAAATTTGTGTTAGTTATTATTAATTGAGAACCACGAATTACACAACCCAATTGTTGATATATTGTGTAACAATATATATGTAACAACAACAACAACAGAGAATAAACTGTGGCGAAGGTTTGAACTATTGATTTTATTCATAATTCATATATATATACAGGTGCAAAGCACAAAGATACCAGCAGAAATAAACACCTAATAAGTAACTCAGTCCCTGTTCTTTAATAGATGGAAGTTCTAAGAAACAATTCGTATATACTCTTCCAAAGCTAATTCGATTTTTATATCATTTTATGCGAGTCAATTGCATACATTATCGTCATTTGTTTATAAAGGACAATGAAGATTTCACACGTGTTAATGTAAATCTAATCTATCTAATTTTGTGATTCTTAATTATAGAAACTTCAGTTAGAGAAACAATTAATTCAACTGTTTTTAAATATACATCTAATCAAAGTTATTTTACAAACTCATGCCATTTGGTTCTTCACCTGTATCAATACCTTTGGTTTTATATGTTATCCCGATATATTAAACATAATTAAACAGTATAGTCTGATTACTCATTTTATAAAGCTCATAATATTCTTAAATTTAGTAGAAATGTTAAGAATAAATATAACCTTGTAAATTAACAATAATCACCTTTTAAAGTTAGGAACAGATAAAACTGAATAAAAATAATAAAAAGGAAAAATATATAGTTCTAAAAACAAAAAAAAGTTTGACAAGGAGCCTTAATCCTAAATCACTGAAAACAAAGATTTACAAGCTACAATAAAGTAATGTGTCCAATGTAGATTCATACTAAAACTGAAAACTAATGGCACAGAAGGTTTTACATTATAAACACTTGTAGTTTATAATTATATATGTATATCATACCTCATGCTTTCAAGATTAGCATATCATAATCATACATCAAATTGAAATGATGATACGATTTTTGTTTACTCTTCAAAAGTTAGAGAATGTTTTATTTTTGTATTATATTTCAATATGTAACTATAATGTAAACTACATTAGATCATCAATTACAAATTTTAAGAAGCATTATTAAGTTTTGACCTAATACCTAATTTTGTATGCTCATCACACTTTTTATATTTGAAAAAAAAAACAGCATTAATTTTCACTGCATTCTGCTTTCAGTATCAAAATATTTTGATGCAAACGATTAATAATGAAGTGTTCATTAAATATTACAGTACAAACATTACTCCGATACCAGGAGTGTAAAATGTTTAAAACTATCAAAGCTGGCAGTGAAGCAAACTGATACAAACACGTCAAAAAATATTTTGAGCACACATGAGAATATAGAATTATATCAGAGTATAATGTTAAAAAAAAAACATTAATACCTACCACTAAGTATAGAATAATTTCAATAGTCAATGAAAGCATACTAACAACTACAAAACTGTCCATTCATATAACTTATCAAATTCAAATTATGTTATACATTAACAACAGCTGCAAAAATATCATAATTTTCAAAAACGGATTTCTAAGTTATTACACTAATTAGAATACTTAAGAATATTTGTTCCAGACAGCCTATCTGAGAGTAAGCCACTAGGATCTTCTAATTGTAGGTTTTAGAAATTGAATAGCAATTAAATTCAATGAAAACAGGCAGAGATCTTCCTCCACCTTTTTCAATGAGAATCACCTCTTTGTGTCCACAACAAGAATAACTGACTAGCACCAACGTAAAATTTATCTTGATTTTTACGGATAACTGTGTTACATAGTACATAACAGCTATCGTAGGAAAACTGAGAATCATTTCTGCAAAAGGTAATATGAAAAATACTTTAGGTGAAAAAAATATTAACTTCTTCCGTTGTTTTCATTAAATGTCTTTCACGAACTACCTAATTAAAATGGCACAAAAAAAAATATACAAGAGATACGTTTGTCATTTATAAAATTGTATTAATGACACTACAAAAACAAGTTGAAACTGAACTGATAATTCTCATTATGTTTTCAATATGGCTAGAAATGTTTACTTTATACTTAAAAAAAGAAATATTAAGAAAATTAAAACTTTTATCATTTTAAGCCTGCACACTTGTATAAGCTACTCAACTTTAAAAAGCATTGTTCATGTGGCACAAACATGAAAGGTTCAAAATAATGAAGTAACTTAACAGAATTTTTCCAATCATTCAAGACAAACAAATATTTTTCATTCGAGTTCTGTACTTTTTATTAATAAAATTCATTTGAAATACTGCTTAATGAAACCAGAAATAACTGCAGGAAGTTTGTTAAAAACAATTAAAGCTAGTAAAGTCAACTACGTTAGATACTGGTTCGTGTGTATTAAGTCTTTTCGTTTTTCACAACCACATATGTGACTAAAAGATATTACCAGTAAGTACGCATGATTTCAAATTATATGTAAGTCAAAAAATTATATACTGTCCTTCAAGGTAATCCAACACTACGAATTGTGTTCCAATGATAAATTTAATATTTGACTTTAATTACATACATGCTTTACTAACATTTTAAGCAAAACTCTGAAATCCTTAACAAGGACAGCGATATATTCAAAAATTAAAGGCTTTAGTCTTGGATTGGAAACTTCATGAAAGAGAGGTTTTCCTTGCCTCCAAACAGATTTTGATGTGAATATTGCTAAATTTTATTTAAGGTTCAATAGAATTATTTAATTTCAATTTTCTTTCACACAATGATTCCTTGCTTTCGTCATTGAATTCTAATTAATGTAAGTAAAAAATCTGTCTTTCAGCACTGGTTGTATTTTGATTACACATGTAGAAGATTGAAAAACATCATTTTTTAAAATAAAATGTTTACGTATTTTTTACCCAGACAATAATTATTGTGAGCTTAAGGATTTGTTATTGTAACAAATTTTATGTTTACATGTGTGTGAAATTATCAATCATACAAAAATAAGGGCGAGTTAATTTTGGTTATCTACTACGAAATCCAAACCCAGTATTTAGAAAATTATAATCCATCACTGAGCTGAATTTTGGGGAAATATTTTCATTAATATTTCAAGATTTTTGCATGCATGAACATATAAGGACAATTACACCAATGACTACAAAAGCAAAGAGGTCACTGTTAATAATCACAAGTCAAATGTTACTGATAAAGCTAATGTTAATTAAATCTGGAAAAAACAACAAAGATGAAGATTAATTATTAACCATGCCTGAATTAGTACACATATGTATAATAATAGATGTAAGTAGAAATCAATGCTTTATCAGTAAATTGTGTTAATAAAAGTTTGCAAACCCACTCAATAACTGTTCTGAGAAACATTTACAATGATTTCTAAAATGCATAACACAGATGTTTTTCATCAAAATTCTAAAGGTCAAATAATATTTCACTCAGCTGATGAAAGTGTTGTACTCCTCTGTTTACAGTTTTAATGAGTGGGTTTGCATATATTGAAAAAAAAAGTTCACAAATCAGTTCTATTTCAAGCTTCAACATTTCCATGCAAATGATGTCACACTGATCACTTGCTCCTCAGCAACGGGCAATATGAACCAACTTGGGTAAGTCACTTCATCATGCTAAAGAGATAAAAATAATAAATTAATACTTTTACAAGTAAAAACACATGAACAACTAAAGAAACTTGTCATGTAATAAAACAAATGCAGTGTTAGAAGTATGGGACTTGATAATTAATAACTCAAAATACACTGAGTATATTTCACTGGATAAGGTTTACGTAAGCACCTGACCTTAAATATCAAGCACAGAATGATTTCAAACATTTATAAGTTTTTCCATCTAGAACATCAATTTACCTGTATTCAGAGCCACTTTCTACACATACTTGAACCTATAGATGATTTAGTTGGGCTTAAATCTAACTCTTATTTAAATGTTATAACAGAATTATAAGAAATTGACTGCGATATGAAACTGTATCCATGTACGTTAGGTAATAAATACTCTAAAATGGCTATACATAAACTGTAGTTTCAAGCAATATCAGCAGAGTTAGGATGATGAGAGAATGCCACCCAAAGAAGTTTGTATGTATCTAGCTAGAAAGTCAGATACTTCAAGTAATCCATTATAATGAGAGAGTATAAAGGTGTATATATAAACAAGATAAAGCAGGCTACAAAAATAATACAATTTCAGTGTTTTAAACACTACGCATGCCTATTGTTTTAATATATTGATCAATATATTTATAAAATTCTTTCTGAATTATGAGAGATATCAATTTCAAAGAACCCAGTAAATTTCCATTGTCAGATCCTACAAAAAAATATAGATTTAATATTCAGTGGGTGTAATTATACATATACCAACTGAAAAATCAAAATTTGTTTGTCCATATATATAATTATATGGCATGGTCATTCTTATTTAATTTGAATTTACAGAATTAAATAAGATGACAGAATAGTACCAAGACAAGCCAACCTTCAAGCTTGTGAGACTCCATCTTTTCCAGAGATCTTGATGTCCATGCATTATTAACCATTGAGCTGAATTGTGGTAAATATTGTAGAAAATTAAAAAGAAACTTATTGGGTTTCATCTTACAAATAATTATTTAAGAAATGTATACTCCTGCCACCACATCCAGAGGAGCTCCTACAAAGAAGGCAAGTTTGCCAAAACGTATAAGATACACCTACCTACAACTAAACTAATTTTAAATTAGTAAATACTTAGTTACTAAATCTACTAAATACCACACTGAAATATGCTTGCAAGACCAAGTTATGTTGTTCACAAAGTTGAAAAATTTACATTATAATATTTCTAAGTGTTTGCTTGCTTCATATTACAATCAAAAATTTTATTTGGGGGAGAATAATCTTATTTTTAGTAAACTCATTTAATTTCAAGATCTACCAAAAACCACTTACTGTACAGTATTGACTTGGATTTATAAACACAGCTTACAATTATAAAATATTATAGAGATAATTACACACTGATTAAAATTTTGTGCTCTGAATCTGTTGCATCTTATTTTCCAAATACTTAAGCTATAAAAACAGTACGTTATCACTGAATTTTGTTTAAATATTCTGGCAAAAATGTAAACATTACGTTTTCCCTGAAATTAGTGTATTATTTTAAGTTTTATAACATCTTTCAGTTTCATGTTTAGACCCCAGTATTGAAGTTATAAGTAAATATCTCATTACATATATCATTAATATCATACCTTCTTATAATCAAAGTAATAATCAGAGAAAAAAAAATTACATATCTATTGCTCAATATTTTATGGTGTGTAAAACTTGTCAAGTCCTAATGCACTATTAACGAACATCTTATTTTTTCTTGTTTGTTTTTTTTACTCTCAAATGTTCAAAAGAACTTTTGAATCCTTTTATATTTATATAAATTATGATAATTAAGTTAACCTAGAATTTTTCTTCCATTTCATTATATGAAGCTGAATTAATGTGAATCATCAAAGGTAACTTAAGAAAAAATAAAACTTGCAGAAAATGGATGGGACAAAATTAAATGCTTTTGTTACTGAAGCAGCATGAAATTAAGTTAAAATACTGCAATTTTAGAGTCACTCTTTCTCTGACTCTTCCTCACTCTCTTCTTCTTCCTCAGATTCCTCACTAACATGATTCTCTTGTAATTTTGTTTTTAGATTATCTTCAACTAATTCTTTTTCATCATCCCCCACCCACTCTTCCTCAACATCCTTCTTATAATCCTCACTTTTGCCTGTTACATTTTCTTCATTGCCTATACGTTGCTCATGTTTCTCCTCTTCCTCTCCCAAGCATTCACCTTCTGAAATAGCCTCACCTTCCTTTGTTTCAGGTTCTTCTTCAGTTGCTGCCTGGTGTTCTTCAGATACATTTTCCTCTTCTGTAACTTCTTTTTTGGAAGACTCAGTGACCTACAAGTTTAATGACATTATTTGTAAACAAATTATTTAACAATATACACCATAATTCCTAAAGGATTAGTCTACCACATTCCATATTTAAAATGATATCCATGGCATATGAAAGAGGAAAAATCTGAAGAATTATGCAACATTTAACAAAATTTTACACAATTAGGTTCTACATTAGGCCCAGTCTACGAACTTCAAGATAACACTAAGAAGTGTTCCTAAATTCAGATTGACAGTAAAAGGTTGTATTTTCAAATAAATTCAAAAGCATAAATGCCAGTTGATCTAATGATATTTTATCTTAAAGAAACAGAAAATAAAACACTAGATAACATAGTGTGATTGTCTAACATGTTATTATTTAATGTTCAACATGGAAGACATACTAAAGATAGATGAAACATTGTGTAACTATACAGAACATGTATTGAAAACAAAATCACATTTGTTGCAAACGTCTTATTTATCGCTGTTTGAATTTTGTGTACCAGTGGGTCCACCATATTCTCCTCATCAATAAGAACAAGTAGTTCCAGAAATGGAAATGTGTGACCAGTGTGAGAACAATTAATATGTTTAGCAAGCTCAAGGAATCTTTATATGAACGATAACAATGTGGTGGACAGAAAGTGTGACAATACTGATTGCAGCACCCCTAATGGATTATGTTGACTTTATAATGTGAGAATGCTCAATTAGGTGAACCTAATCTATTAACTAGCTCAATAATTAATGGATTAGCAAATTCCACACATTTGTTTCCAATATAACATCCGAAGGACAGCAAGGGTCTCCTTGCCCCACGTGGCTGTCCCATTAATTTCATCAAACACCTATCTGTTTATATCCAGCATTGACTCCACAAGTACTTATAAGCCCTCTCTTGAATTCTTCCAATCCTATTGGTATTTACAACATCTCAAGACAACCTATTCCAAAAACTGACCACCCCCTGTTCAAAAAATACAACTGACGAATTTGCAAACAACTTCTACCCTACCAAGTCTTAAATCTACAGTTCCTAGTCCTACCATTACTTAAAGATGATGAATCAATTTTAAGATATTTGTAATATGCCATTGTATGTTTGCATGACTCCACAATTGTTTCTAGATACAAAAATATTTAAAATAAACTTGTTTCCTGTATATAAATGTAGCGACACAAACATTAACATATTAATAAATTTGTTTGAATTAAAAGACACATGTATATTGAAAAGGTATAAAATAAGGGAAACAACTACAACAACAACAAAGTAAAGAAGTTTAAGTCTCACTTCTTCTTTTGGTTCAGAAACCTCTCGAGATCCTGTGCCATTTTGAAAAATTAATTCATCTGCGTTTTCTGGCTCTGTAGCTTGAAATTTAGTTTCAGTTGATGTAATATCTTCCTTAGAAACTTGGTCTTCTAACTTCAAGAACTTCATAAGTTCATCATCTTCATTTGCCAATTCAAAGTCTTCATAGTCCTAAATTTAATACAAATGGCTTTAAATGTATGTTGGCCATAGTTATTCAAAATCATTTGAAATCACCAATAGTGAATTACAACATTAAAATAGAATTTGATAAACTAAAATTGCTGGTGTCTCATTATAATATTATTATGAGCCATTCTAAACATAAAACAATGGTTTATAACAATGTACCTATTATCCATAGCACAAATTTTCAATATCACTAGATTTTAGCTAAATATGCTTAAAGAATACTAATAAAGTTAACACTTTCTTTACCTGAAAACGTATTTCTGATATATTCTCACCTCCAGACACAGAATAGCTTATTTTACTCTTGAGTTTGCATCATATGCCAAAGAGATTTGCAAACCTTGTGAAAACTTCCACCTAATCTGATGTGAAACCATGTGAATATGGGTGTGACACACCTCCATGCACAATAACACCCACTACATTCTCACCTGTGGATGCTCATTCTTTGACAAAGCAATAAATAAACTGCACTGGGAAGTGGGGAGGATAGGCGAGAACATGTGTGGAGGTATCTATAAGAAATACATTTTCAATGTTAATTTTGGAAACTCATCTCTCACACAGAATAGCTAAAATCTCACACTGAGATGGTGGAGGCACTGGTGCAGAGATTACTTATATATCAGCTCCCTTCATGGGGCTGTGACACCTGATAGCAGGGACTCCACAGGGTTACACCTGCAGTAGATCACATCTTGTCTCATCAAAAGTATATCCTTCGCTCATGTATAAGAAGAGTAATAGATGAAAAGTGAGAAATGTATCACAATTACAGGAAGAACATGTATATAATGTTCGAGTACTTGCACACAAAATGTTGAACAGCCAATATGTGTAGTGAAGTTATGGCTCGTTCAGACCATACCTTGTGTGCTCACCTCATCTACCAGGGGTCAAAATTAGCTGTGGGAGAAGGGCACTTGTGATAACTTTCTCTCTGCTCACCTCCTCTACCATCAACCACTAAGGGGTCCATTCCAGCTGTGGGAAGAGGGCACAGTGCAGAATCATGTCAGTATAACCTCTACTTGACCATCAGTCACTACAGGCCCCATACCTGCAGTAGGAGTAGGATGTGTGAGTGATAAGTCACTTATGTATATGGTGTGGGAGTGGGTTTTCCTTTTTTGCAGTACAATGTAAAATGGACAAGAAAAAGAAAAGAGTTTGCACATCAACTCTACTGAACAGATTTTGGCTGAAGAAGGAAGACTGGGGAGATAAAATAACATATAAAGATTGATATAGAGATTTATAGCATTTGTCCACTTGAAGATTTTGATGTATCATAGTTATATATATGGGGTGAACTGCACTACACTCCGGTGTCACCCAAGCCTCCACTTCTCATCATACAGCAACCCCTTGTTCTAGCCCCATTGGGAAGGTTCCAATCAATGAGTATTCTCCATGGTCCATCATCCTAGTGGTTGGAAGTTGGCAAGGGTCTCCTGAGTTCCACTCAACAAGGGGGAGAAAATTCACATAGGGGAGACCTGGAGAATGTGCCTGAATCCCCATCAATCCTTCAGATCTTTCACTGGAAACAGTGCAATGGGTGATTACAATATCGCATTTTTAAAAGCTGGCAAGCACTATCCAAAAAAAGTGGGTAAATACAGAACTCTGGTGCTAGATTTTTTCATGACAGACTATGGAATATGTATGGTCTGAATTGGACATAAAATGTAATATAGATATATATTGAAATACCACAAGGAAACCTCAAGTGGTCTTGCGGAACACTCCATATCGGAGTGGGCACGTGTAAGACTATGATGGATGGTATGACTACTTTCCATTATCCTGGCTCAATGCAACTTTTAGGAAACAGCACTAGCCACCTATTGGGATCCTACAGTAAGTTAGTTGTAAGAAAAGTATAAGTACTCTCACTTGTTGAAAGTCAAGAGGTGGATTGAATGATGGCTATTGGAGACAGCAAGGTGGTGGAGATAGTGGTTGAAGGTGTGTGGGGTTGTCTATATGCCAACCTGGAGAATCTTCTCTAGAGAATGATGAAAATGGGCTGCAAGATAATGTTTAAGGTGTCGAATCTGGTGAGAGCAGACCTGAAAGAGCTGAGAATCATAACTTCCAAAGAGGAGTAAACCAGATGGATGAGTTGGTGGATCCATTTGGTAAGGGTCTAGAGAATGAAAAGGTGGTGATGAGAACCCCAAAAGGAGGAAGTGCATGATAGATAACAACAAACAGTCTGTACAAGCCATACAAGTCTGTCTGGGTCAAAACAATCATAGGTGGGAGATACAGAGGAATGGGAAATGGGAGAAATGTGTGTCTATTTTCCCTAGCAGATGAAGTCTTGAGAAGAAAGGAATGGTTGGGGGTAAAGAAAGAAGGTAAGTGTGGTGGTAGAGATATTGGGAGGAATCTATGATGTCAGAACAACAGCAACCATGGGCAAGAAGGAGAAGGAAATACGTTTTGAGAGAAAGATGATATAGGGAGCAAGTGGTAAGAGGTTTGAAAGGGTCCTGGGTGAGAGTGTGAAGAACTATATCCAGGTCCCAGTTTGGCAAGGGAGTAGGACAAGAGGATCTGTGGATTAGGAAGGAATAAAAGATGGTAGTAAGGAAAGATGAACAAAATATTCTGTGGCATTGGGAAAGACAGAATGTGGTAGATATTTTTACCAATAATCCACATTGGTAGAGACAAACAAGCCATAGTCAAAGAGCCATGTGAAGGTGTTGTAATGTAGGTCAGCCAAGGGGAAAATGGTGATAGACAGACCAATGAGGATACACACACCATTTACACTGGTACACGGAAGAGTTGGAGTGGCAATAAGAGTAGAACAGAAAGAAAGCTAGATGATCAAATAGTCTGGCTCAAAAATGTGATAGACCAGACAAATCCCATACATGAAGATGAAGGGATGTCACTCCTTGATGAAAGATGATGCATACTGTTGGACCAGAAGGGATGAAATGTTGGGAAGAGGGCTTGAGGGGTGTCCAAACCAAAGGAGGAGGACAGGCATAAAGGACTTGATGGGATCAGACGTAACTGAAGGCATCTCCGAGGGGAGTTCCTAGTTGGGAGCAAATACAATGGAAGGTTTGAGGTTGGGGCAATTCTGTGTGTAGGACATGAACAAGAAAGACTGTCTGCAACAACATTCAATGCATCTGGAACATGACAGGCTATGAAACCCACCCGGCTGGAATGGACCCAAGGGAGGAAGTCCAAAGTATGAAAGCAAGAGGGTTCTGGAATGAGTCCCCTAGGCAGTTGATATCAGACACAATTGTAAAGTTGTCCAAGTGGATCATTATCAACTGAAATGAAAGCATGCCCAATGGAGAAAGAGCAATTTGAGGACACTGATATATAGCAAACACACCTCCAGGAACCTGAAGGCAGATAGTTGTTCAGAGATGCTCCAAAATCATGAAGAGATGAAGATCCAGTTTGGGATGAGGGAAGGGAACACTGGAGGTGGTGTTAGGTTTCCTTGGTTGTGTAATACCCACTGTAAATAATGCATATGTGTGTGGCCAAATGGAATAAGGGGTTCCAGAGAAGCCATGGTCCCCAAAAAAGATAGAACATTTAGTGGTGAATGTGAAAGTGAGGTAAAATTTTGGTGACCAGATGCCCAAGATCTCGTAGGCAAACCAGAGAAGACTGGGCAAGGCTGAGGAATTTCTGTATGATTGATGACCCTGGTCATCATCTTTGTCTTATGTGGTCATCATGCTCTTAACCTGCTCACATTTATCCCTTTAGAGACAGTGAAATCTATTTTGTGCCACTGGATCACTTTGTATCTTGATATTTTCTCTTTGACTATTTGGATTCAAAACTTCCAACTTGTCTCTTCCTTCTTAAGATAACACCTTTTGTCTTTTTAATATCGCCTCTCATCAAGTTTGTGATCTTATAGCTTCTCATCCCTCTAACGTTTGCTTTCCCCCTTGAAGGGTGATATTGCAGGTGGTGATGTAGAGGATTCCCAAGTATCTTTGAGTCACATTCCAGTTTTTCAGACAGTTGCCTTTCTCCAGTCTCACCCAGAGGCTATAAGGAGGTGAGTTGTTAATTTTTTTGTTTTTATTGTAGCATTGCCTTTTATCCCTCAGTACAATAACAACAAGAAGAAAAAGAATGTCAGCTCATACTTCTTATTTAATAATAATGGAGACAATGAAACCCAACACATGGCCAATGTTGCCTCACAGGGAATGTTTCTATCTCCTAAAATTATCTCGTCAATCTCATCCATCTCGAGATTATCTTCAACACTCAGGTTTGTTTGCATTTACATGGACAGGTTGCTTTTATTTTGGGACTGCTTGTTCCTTCCTAAGACTTAGGCTGCACCAGAGGGTGATCAGATGTTTTTTCTCACCATTCTTCTTTCATTTTCCTCCTGCACTGTTCATCTAAAGTGACATCTTCCAAGTGAGAAGAAAATACATTTTAAAAGAAAGATGGCACATGAACCAGGAAACCAAAGGTCTGTACAGAGGATTTATAAAAGCCATAAAAACTAAAAGGTGGTTTAAGTCCAGCAGAGCAACTGCAGGAGGAAGATAATGTTGTATTAAGGATCTAAATAGGTCCATAAGAACTGAAGAAATAGAAACAGATGGGCCAGGGAAAAGATAGAAGATTATTAACAAAGCCACCCTGTAACTGGTGATCTAGAAATGGATAGACTACTTGCAAAAAAGCCAGTTAAAAAAAGAAGTGGGATAAGGAAGATTTGAACAACCAAGAGGGAGTGGCAAACATACCAATGTCAAGAAACCATCTACATGCACTGATAAATCACAAGAATGGATGGCTAACAAAAGTGTTCAAGAAAATTGGCTACTCTGTGAAGGAAACCTGCAAGGGACCATAAAAATATCACTTGTGAAGATGAAGGTGTAGAATATCTTTGCTGATTAAAACCTGGCAAGGGGTGCTGTGAATTAAAGACAGCAACCTGGAAAGATATCAAA